TCCTCTGCCGCTTATCCAGCAGCCGGCGGCGTGTTACAGTCAGCCGCAGCAACTTTGGTCGCAGGGAAACCCCCAGAACGTACTGCCAGCGCAACAGCATAACCAGCCGCAACCACAAAACCAGTTGCCGTACGTCCAACCGTCAGCTCACGCTTTTATTCAGCAACCGCAATTATGGCCGCAGCCAGAGCCACAGGCAAATTTCCAACGCAAAGTGAGTCCCAGGCTGGGTATCCACAGGATACTTGGTCTGGGTCACCTCATCAACAACAGCCACCGCCTCTAAACTACAACTTGGCCATGTCGAGGCCAAGACCTCAAGCCCTTGGATAAGTTTAAATTAGCCAAATGGGGTGTTAGATTTGATGGGACCAGCAAAACTATGAATGTCCAAGAATTCATTTTTAGAGTTGGAGCGTTGAGGAGGGATTACGGATGCTCTGATGATGAAATCCTGAGGAGTTTCCATCTCCTTCTAGACGGCCCCGCTCTAGACTGGTACTGGGATTACCGAAAAATTGTCCACATTAATACCTGGGAGGAGCTGGAGAAAGCCATCTTGGCCCAATACCGCCGGTTCGAACAGGAACATGAGGTTCAAATGAAAATTCTGAACCGCCGGCAGCTGCCGCAGGAAGCATTCGACGATTTTTATAACGCGGTTATTAAGCTCCGAAACCAGCAACAGCACCCATATGCGGAGGAGCAGTTGGTGGAGATCATGCGTGGTAATTTAAAGCCATCATTGGCTCAAATGATGTTTTCTGTTCGGCTTAAAACGTTGTCCGAGTTTTGTCGTGAAGTAAGGCGAGCAGAAAATTTGATAAACAACCAAAGGCAACGATATCAGCAAGCTAATGTCACGCATCGGGTGAATGAACTGGTTTGTGAGGACGAGGATTTGGTCGCTGATAGATTTGGAGGTTGATGGTATTCGGTCTACAAGTCACTATACCTGCTGGAATTGCAAGGTCGTCGGTCATAGTTTTGTCGACTGTCCCGAGCCCATTAATAGACAGTTTTGCTTCCGGTGTACTCGAATTCAAGAGTACAGTGAAGCAAAAAGTAGAATATTCGGTCGAGTGACAAATAAGATTAGAAAAGCCCGAGAGCGCTATAGGACAAGAAAAAGGTTACGTCATGAAATCTCGTCGGCTTCACTTTACGAGGGTGAAGACTCACGACTGTATACGCGATTAAGTATAGGCGGCCAAAGTATAATCGGTTTACTTGATAGCGGGGCAACGGTAACTTGTCTCGGTAGGAATTGTCTAAAGTTCGTTAATGACGCCGGTCTTGAGGTTCACGAATTTAGTAGTGTTATAAAAACAGCAGATGGTACCAATCATCCGATAGTCGGTCGTGTCAGGGCTGAAGTTAGGTTTCGTGATGCGGTAAATGATATCACATTCTATTTAGTGCCTACTCTGAATCGAGAGCTCTTCTTGGGGGTCGATTTTATGAAGGTTTTTAAAATGTTTGCCAGTCTCGAGAGTCTTACGACTAATGGTGTTAGTCTCTGCGAAGAGGAAGATAGTACCCTAGATGTCGTGACTCATAAGCTGACCCCGGATCAGCGACAAAGATTAGATTTCGTCATATCGATGTTCCCCTGCTACAGTAAAAAGGGCTTAGGAAAAAACAATTTGGAAATGCATACGATAGATACTCGAGATGCAATTCCAGTTAAAGATCGTCACTATCCTGTCTCCCCGGCAGTGCAAAAGTTGATGTACGCGGAGCTCGATAGGATGCTTGACCTCGGTGTGATTGAGCTTAGTGAAAGTCCATGGAGTCATCCAGTTACTCTGGTCCGCAGGGGCGAGAAAAACCGGCTGTGCCTGGACGCACGTAAGCTCAATGCACTGACAGTCAAGGATGCCTATCCATTGCCGCACATCGAAGGTTTGCTCAGTCTTTTGGGAGACACGATATACATCTCCAGTGTTGACCTAAAAGACGCGTTCTGGCAGATACCACTAGAATCGTCCAGTAAAGAGAAAACCGCATTCACGGTGCCAGGACGACCGCTCTATCATTTTACGGTCATGCCTTTTGGGTTGTGCAATGCAGCTCAAAGGTTATGCCGTTTAATGGATAAAGTGATCCCCGCAGCACTTCGTGATAGGGTTTTCGTCTATCTGGACAATCTTTTGATTGTATCTCCAGAATTCGAAACACATCTGGAATTGTTGAAACGTATATCTATCTGTTTAGCAAAAGCAGGTCTGACCATCAATGTGGCGAAGTCTAAATTTTGTTTTAAGGAGTTAAGATATCTAGGATACATAGTCGGAGGTGGCAAACTGAAACCTGATCCGTCCAAAGTAGAAACCATTACTCGTTTTGCTTATCCTAAGACAGCAAGACAGGTGCGGAGCTTCATGGGAGCAACAGGCTGGTATAGGAAATTTATACCAGACTATGCTACCATTGCAGCCCCAATCTTTGAAACGCTGAAGAAGGGTAAACAATTCAAGTTTTCGGAGGAAGCCAAGGTCGCGTTTGATCGTCTCAAGGAAGCTCTAGTTTCAAGTCCACTCCTTAATCATCCTGACTTCAACAAACATTTCTTCGTTCAGTGTGATGCGTCTGACGTAGGTATTCGTGCAGTGCTTTTCCAGAAGGATGATTCCGATGGAGAGCACCCAATAGCCTACTTTTCACACAAACTAACGTCAGCGCAGAAAAACTATTCTGTAACTGAACGAGAATGTTTAGATGTAGTCTTGGCGATTAAGAAGTTTAGGCCCTACATAGAGTTGATGCCTTTTACCGTCATTACGGACCATAGCAGTCTGAAGTGGCTCATGAGTCATAAAGATTTGACAGGTCGTTTAGCTAGATGGAGTCTACATCTGCAATCGTACGATTTTACGATTGAACACAGGCAGGGGAAGCAAAATGTAGTACCCGATACCCTCTCTCGCTATGATATGGACGAAATCTCGTTAAACGTACCTAAACTCATTGACCTAACTTCAGTTTCTTTCCGGTCAGAAGATTATCGTAACCTCATAGACACAGTCGAGAAAAATGCCGAACAATTGCCCGATTTAAAAGTCGTCGATGGTTTCGTCTATAAACACACTAAGCCTTACGACGGTATAGCTACGAATGAAGATTTTGCGTGGAAGTTATGGGTACCGCTAGATCTGACAGAGGACATCATAAAAGCATGTCATGATTCTCCACAAGCGTCTCATGGAGGCGTTGGGAAGACTCTTTATAGAGTGAAAGAATATTTTTATTGGCCGAATCAAAATGTCCAAATCAGAAACTACGAAAGAAAGTGCCAAACCTGCAAGGAGGCCAAGCCGGCGAATACTACGCTCAGACCACCGATGGGAGCCGAAGTCCAAACTGAACGCCCGTTCCAAAGAATTTTCATTGATTTTCTCGGTCCGTACCCGCGGTCGAAGAACGGAAACGTTTTTATTTTCATCGTCTTAGATCATTTGACTAAGTTCGTTTTTTTGAAGGCCTTGTCTAAAGCCAGCACCAAGAATGTTGTGAAATTTTTAATCACAGAGGTTTTCCATAAGTTTGGAACTCCGGAAACAATCGTTTCGGACAATGGAAAGCAGTTCTTAAGTAAAGAATTCGTGGATATGATAAAGAATTTCGGTGTCAGACATGTTAGAACTGCAACTCACTCGCCGCAAGCTAATGCATCCGAGCGGGTTAACCAATCTATCTTAGCAGCCGTAAGGTCGTATCTGCAGGAAGACCATACAGAATGGGACAAGCATTTGTCCGAAATTGAGTTTTCCTTAAGGTCTTCCGTGCAGTCGTCCATAGGAGTTACGCCTTATTTCGCCTTATTCGGAATGAATATGATTGGCCATGGTAGTGTATACCAGTTGGCACGCAAACTTAGAATCTTAAACGATCCCGAAACTAACGTCATTCCGAATGCTGATAGATTGGATTTGATACGGCAGAGAATTCGCGAAAATCTACATAAAGCCTACGCTCGCAACGAAAAATCGTATAATACGCGGTCTCGTCCAGTCAAATTCATACCCGGTCAAGAAGTCTACCGACGTAACTTCCAGCAGAGCGATTTTAAAAACAATTTCAACGCCAAATTCGTCCGAAAATTTCTAAAATGCCGAATCGTCCGACCAGTCGGTAACAGTTTATATGAGGTCGAAGATTTTCAGGGGAAATCGTTAGGGGTTTTTCACGCCAAAGATTTGAAGCAATAGCTTCAATATCTTTGGTGGTTCTAGTCCTGACATTTCTTCCTGAATATCTACTGGTTGACAGCGTCTACTAGTCACCTACAGTGTGCCTAAATGGGTACCTATTTTTTTTTAAATACTTTCTGTTGAGTCTTCATAGTAATCTGTATTTTTCTTTTTCTAATTTGCAGTGAATTTCTGTTTGGTATAGTTATTGTTGTGTCCTGAGCAGTACTGAGATCTGTACATAACTTTCATTTATATCGTAGTCCAGTGAGATCCATAGCTTCTTTGGAATGAGTAATTATTTGTTTGGATCGACTTAAGGCCAACGTTTCTTAGCTGATTACATGTGTAACCGGTCATTACCCTATTAGAAGGTGCAACCCCATCAAAGCCTTCCGGTACCTAGGGCAATGACGCAATTCTGAGTCCGATCTTACAGCGAGCCGATACCAAAGGAAACAATTGGGACAATACATAATGGAAAACCAACATGTAGTTCTTCATTCCGTAAGCAGATTGTCACCGGCTGAGATATAAATGATTGGTAGTACAGAATCTTCAGTTTCGTCCAGAATATAATCAGTAACTATACTAAACACAATTCATTTAAAGTCAGTAGTAATAACAAGTAGTTTAGGACCTTGTTTCATAGTTTTTCTAAACTTTATTTTGTTATTACTACAGAATTCTGCTCTAATTATAAAAGGTTATGGTTCCTACGGAGTCCGACGTAAACTACTTAAACTAGCTGTCCAGTCGACAAAATATATTGTCTAATATAATCTACTTTTATAACTATTCACTCACCCGGATTATCTGCTTCACTGCTCTCATTTGCTTCTCTATTGTTGTTGTTCTTGTTGTTGCAACCTGGAAAAAGTTCGAAGGACTTTAGTAGGGTTTCAAATAGTAATAAATTTAAAATTTTAATTATTGCATTATAAATACTTGCCAAGTCCCATGAATTACACTGAATTTAGCTTCTTAGTGGAGTTTCGCCCCTTCAGGTCGTCCTTCTCAGGGACACTTGAAGTCTTAATAACCTGTAGGGAAACGAAACTTTAGTTTTTATTATTTTAAAGTTAGCAATAAAATTTTCTAAAAGAATATTTATGAATTGTCTTATGAAAATGTTTATTAGGATTTTCTTTTAGAAAATTTTATAACCTAACACTCTTATTTCTATTAGTGTAGAATTTTAGTTTTAAATGAAAATGTCAAGGGGCACTTCTCGCCAAAGATCTAAGGCTTCTGCCCGAAATCTTTGGTGGTTTTGGTCCTTGCTTTTCCACCGAACTCTCTCTAATAAGAGACTTACCTGACCTTTCACTAGGTTCTCGATCTTCCACTTCACTTTCCTCAGGTGTTGGATTAGTGTTCTGTAAAGAAAGTGGAAGCACTCAATTTAGTTTTTGTTTAATGTAGTTACAAGGGGTATTTCCCGCCAAAGTCTCTATAGTTTATTCTACGAGCTTTGGTGGACTTAGTCCTTGTGTTACAGTGGAGAATAAGTATCATTATTTTATTTTCTTGTATTTTTATACTTACGGATCCTAAACGAAATCTAACGCCAGTTTGAAGTTCAAGATCCTCTAGAAGTTTAATCTGAAAGTATAGAGAATTCACATAATTAGTAAAATTATATAAAAAAAAACACAAAAAATATTAAAAATATAGAAAAAATTATAAAAAAAAATAATAAAAGAAAAATATAAAAAACATATGAATTACAAAAAAAAAAAAAAACTGAATTAATACTTTATTTTTAAACATTTTCAAATTTTTTTATTATTTTTCACTTTTATTTTGAGAGTTTTAGTTTTCTTCTACGCATTTATTTACAGCACACTTTTTGCGAACACCCGTTTTCGTTATTTAATTCACTTTTTTCACAATAGTTTTCTTTACATTTTTACCTAAATCTCACAATAGTTGTTATAAACAAGTTTTTTTGCTCGCCTTAATGCTTTCCTTTTCATCAATTTCTTTTAGTAATTTTTCAAAAATTTTCGTTTAATTTCATAAATTTTAATTTTTTTTTTGACTTTCACTGAAATTTTGCACACCACTGTAAAAAAAATTTTAAGTTTCAATTAATTAACAACACCATAGCCCAGTTCAATAGTTTATTTCTTTGTTTTGTTTAAAAAACTCACACTTTTATCCGCCACTGTATTTTCCAAAATTAGTTTTATTTTACACCACACATTTTACACCACACAAAATATTCACTTAACACCATAGAATAATTTTTTATTGTGTCACAACACTTGTTTTTCACTGTATTCTTTTATTTTTGTTTTACACCGGCTTATTTTACCTTTCACTTTAGTTTCAGTTTCACTTTCATTTTTATTCACTTTTATTTTTTTTTTAACACCACACACTTTTAATCGTCACTGTAAATTCCGTTTTTAGTTTTTATTTTTTTATTCACCGTCAACAATTCATTCGCACAATAGTTTAATTTTATTTTCACTTTTAACTTTTTTATTTCACTTTTGTCGCACACTGTATATTCCATTTTTATTTTTATTCACAGACACAAATCCGTTTTACACAATAGCTTCATTTAATTTCTTTTTTTTCCTTTAATTTTTCACTTTAATTTTGTTTTACACTTCACTTTTGTCCCGCACTGTAATTTCAGGAAAAATAATTTTTAGATTTTAAATTTTTACCGGAAATAAGTTATTAATTTTTATTATTTTCTTTTTTTAGTTTTTTTACATTGTAATTGTCCGTCCGCGCACTTTTCGTACTCACTGTATTTTCCAAATTTTATTTTTTTTATCACAGTAACACATTACACTCTCTTAAAACACTTTTATTTAGTTTTTTTTACACACACTTTTCACACTCACTGTAGCTTCCAAAAATCCCTAATAACACTTTAACTTTTATTTTTAAAACCCTTTATTTTAAATTTTACACTTAAAATTCATTTTCACTTACCTTGCACATGTCCAACTCCAGAAATTACATCAGCACCTACCCAATAGCTAACTGTAGCCACATTCCTGAAAGAAACAAAAAAAAAAATGCATTAAAAATTTTTGTTAACCTTGAATGAATTAAATAAATTTCTACTTACCAATATTCCACCAGAATCTGCAGCATCCGTCGTCAATTCCTGAAAAGAAAATATAGGAAAAATTTTATTAATATTTTGGCACATTTTGCTATTAAAATTTCAAAATAAAATTAATTATATTCAAAAATAAAAATTTCATTAACAAAATACTTATCATTGTTGACTTAATCTTAATAAATGCGTATTTTTGCATTCTCTCTCCTCCCCTTCCATTTCATTCAAACAGCTGTGAAATAAATTCAGAGTACGTCGCCGCCCGACCTGGTTTAACGGCGGTACAGAGTCGCACTTTTGTTTGTGAATGGAATAAGAGTTGCCATATTGCTAATTTTTTTTGTTGGGAATAAAAAATGCCCAAAATCCCAGAAAATTTTTAAAATTAGGGAAATTCATAAATTCAGGGCGCAAATTTTTCCACTCCATTCTGTATCCATAAATAGATTACAGAATGGTACGGTTTGTCGTGTGCACCCTGTAGTAGGGAAAAATTTAAGAAGAAGAAGTTAAGTAAAAAGTTGGCAACGCAGATTAGTAAACAATTTGACAGCTGGAAAGCATAAACAAAAACAAAACTATGCCAGAAAAAAACTGTATAGCTGAAATTAAATGGAATTAGAGGGAACCATATTGGCAACCGAGGTTTCTCGGTCACCAATGACCAAAATGTCGGTCCTTTTCATTTTTCCCTGCCCAAGAAGAAGGTGGAGCCCGTGGCCGTCAGAGAAAAAAATTTTCATTTAAATTAAATAATTCTTTTTTTTTTATTCATATAAGTATTAAACTAAAACTTCAAATAAAAGTAAAACCAAGTAAAATAAAACTTAAAACTAAATTAAATCAATCTTAAAGCTAAATAAAGCGAGAACCATAAAACTAAAGCAGCAACTCTGAGTCACGCCATCGCCAGCTCCATCCAGCGTGGGACTACTCTAGCAGATCCGCACCAACAGTCCTGTGGTGTCCAGGTATTAAGGTTTTCGACATAGAAGTGTACCTCTTACCCGAACGACAGGACGAACAGAACCAGTCCTTTTAGATAATTTCTATATAAAAAAAAAATAATAAAAAAATTTAGTAAACAAAAAGAAAAAAAAAGCTATATATTTGTTTGTAGGCATACCTTTCGTTAGTTGCTCGAAGCCAGTCCGCTGGTTAAAATTGAACCAGGCGTGCGCGTAAGGATAGGATTGAGCTCAGGCCTAGTTAAGAACAATCCCGCGGTAGATTTTAACTCATAGGTTGCCGGAAACTAGTATATACAAAAAAAAAAGAAAGAAGAAAAAAAAAACAAATTATTTAAAAGGTTCTTATAATATATTATTCATTACTTACCTGAAATACCCGAACAAACTAATACGGACGGACAGAAAACCTGTACATTCACCACCGGTCGTCAAGAAACGTTGATCCTTGGGAGATTAGTCCAGTCTATTGCGAATCTGAAAGTAAAAGGGGTATTTAAATTAGAAAAAAAGAAGAAAAAAAAAAAACTCAAAGTAAATGTAAAAACTTAAATTAAACTTAAAATCTAAAATTTGATTAAATCTAAAAAGATAAAATCCTAAAAAACTAAATTTTGTTAAAACTTTAAAACTAAATCTTGTCAAAACTTAAAAACTAAATCTTGTTAAAACTTAAAAACTAAATTTTGTTAAAACTTAAAAACTAAATTTTGTTAAAACTTAAAAAAAAAAAAACTAAAGTTTGTTAAAATCTTAAAACTAAAACTAAAAACTAAATTTGCTAAAACCTAAATTTGCCTAATTGTTAAAAACTTAATTTGTTAATAATTATCATCTGAAGTTGGATAATTAGAATTTGCTAATATTTTAAAATTTTTCTAAAACTCAAATTGAATTTTGCTAAGTCCAAATTTCGATGAGACATTGTTAATTTTTTTTATAATAAACAGAAACCTTTATAATGTTTAAATGAAAATTTAAAAGTTTGTATCATTAATATGACTGGCTAACTTCATTAATAATCGGCGGTAAGTAGGGTGACTAAATGTTTGCAGGGAAGATCTGGGACGTCGAGGAAGATTACGTCATGGCGAGGATGAATCCTCGAGAGGGAGGGTCATATTGTGTATAGGTATGACCGTAGGGAGATACAGGACTACTTTTGGCCCCTTTTTCTAATAATACCCCCAAATGCTGGTATGAATTTTTGTGTTAGTGTGTGTCTGTGGTCCAGATTGCCGGCAAGAACCACCCCATCCGGCGAGCTTTAGCCGCGCAATACGCGGGCATACCAGCGCCGCTAGCAATCTGGCCACTCTGTCCCTTTTTGTTCTTTATGTTGTCTGTTTGTTTTTTTAAACAAACAGCTGACACAACACACCAATACAATCTCAGCTATAAAAAAGGCATCTAATTGGCTTACTTACTATCGGATATCCAACAGAGATATCAGAATTTATACTGATAGTCAAGCCGCTATCAAATCCCTGATAGGTGTGTATTCTACATCAAAACTTGTCCAAGAATGCCGGACGTCTCTAAACGAGATGGCGAGACATTCAAGAATTACCCTCGTTTGGGTCAAAGGACACGGGGACATAATTGGCAATACTACTGCCGACATTTTGGCAAAAGCAGGCACGAGGATGACCATGCTGGATATAGACCAGTTCTGTGGTGTCCCCTTAGCGGTCATCAAGAAACAAATACTTGATTATTGCTTTAGTTCAGCTCAGGAACGGTGGTCTCAGGAGCACACTTGCTCGATCGCTAGGTTACTGTGGCCTCGTATGGATCCCCATAAAACATCCTACATTTTAGGGCTTAACAGAATATATCTGAGCGCTCTGTTATCAGTTCTTACCGGTCATTCAAAGTTCGGAAACCATGCTAGACGTATTGGTATTCCATATAATGACTTTTGTAGGAGCTGTCAAAATGAAGAAGAGGAAGAAACAATTACTCATCTTCTGTGTAACTGTCCGGCCCTGGAATCGCTCCGTCATCAGGCGCTGGGTTCGTCTCACTTTTCTGATCTATCTGATCTGTCAGCTGTTCAACCTGAGTGTATACTAGCATTCTTGAAATTGTCGAAGTGGGTGTGTAACTAAATACACACTAGGATTTTTCTTGAAATACAGTCTTGATCTCATCGTTTTCTATATTCATTATTCTATATTCTATATCTGTATCTTTCACTACTATCTCTATCACTATTTTTCCCTTCCAAATGTTTTCCCTTATCTTTTCTCTTCACAGACGTTACAAAGGGACCTGATAGGACCCAAGTAAAGACTTAATCGTGTCAGTAAGCAGTCTGCAAAACCTAACCTAACCTTGACTAATCATGCTTGATGGATATATCCGTCAAATCTGACGGCTATACCAATTTATAATAAAACACAATTTATTAGCATTTTAAGATAATGTACTGCTCAAAAATATAGCGCACTTTCTATTTATTATTTTCTCTTTTTATACCATTAAAAAAACTTAAGATAAAAAAATTTTGTTTGCGGTAAATTAAAATATATAACCAGTTTATTAAAACAATATTGAAATTTATTTTAAAATAGCAAAATAACTGCGCTAGAAAATATTTTACGAAACAAGTCCTTAATTATTGATTCAAAATTATAACGCATTTATAATCAAATTGGCAATAATATATTCTTATATGATAAAATACTACTGCCCCTATATTTTAAGACCCATTTGGTCCCATTTGGTATTGAGTTGCCAAAGTGTAGCGAACACTTTGAGTTTTTTTACCAAATTCATTTTTTAGCATTTTACAATCAATTTATGCATCTATTTTCAATTCTGAAGACATGAATCGGTAATCAATAAATCATAATATAATTTATAAACATTTGATAACAATTTAGTCAATGTTATTTGGGAATATTTCCTTGATATATCCAAAATTTCTAAATTTCGCGCGATAGCATTGAGCGTTTTTAATATTTTAACTACGCCTATGTTTAAATCGGCACAAACAAACAGCGTTGTCAACTATTTTATACCAAAACTCGCTGTCCATTTACCATTTTAGTGTAACCTGGGTGCCTCGCTACTCAATGAAAATTAAGTATAAAATTTTTATTACTTTTATAGTTAAGTACTAAGTACCAAACATCTCCCTTTTATAAGAACCGTGTGTCATTTGTTTCAGATCCCCACTGTAGAAACTTTAAAACGTTTGATTCTTGTGCGGATTCTTATCCAGTCAGAATTCTGCATGTTCAATATTATAGTACAATTTGAAGGACGAAAAAGTTTAAATTTACCCTTTTCCCCCTGTGGATCCGCTCCTGTGTATGGATATCACATATAAAACTCGAACGACTCAAATCTGCATTCATTTGTTCCAGAAAATTGTGCTTTCGAAAAGTACCAAACAATTTACCCGAATTTGGTCCTATATAGGCCCAAGTTCTCGAATTTCAAAATAATATACCAATAGTTTATTTTGTGTGAGTTTATTTATATATTTTTTAAATATTTTTTCAAATTTTATAAAAATTGGCTCAATGAGTTTGAATAAAATTATATTTCCCGTATTCCCCTTTTTGGTACTTTTTTTCTTCCCAATGAAATAGAAACTATTTTGTTTTCGTAAATATAACAGAGTAAGTCCGTAAAAAATTTTGATTATGTTTATTAGTTAAAAAGTTATAAAGTACTAAAAAAGGTACCAAAATCACCATTGTTACTCATTTTTACCACTTAAAAGTACGAACTTCGAAAAAGTACCAGGCACCCATCTGCTCATATTAAGAATAGATACAGGTGCATTTTTTGTATCACTAATATTATGTAAGATAAGTAAGAAAACCATTTCCAAAAATCCCTCCTTAGTGGATCTACATAACCAAAAACACATCCACTGTTAAAATTTCATGACTCTATGTCCAAATCCAAAGCATGCCATTAATTAAGTATGTATGTTCGATTTTCTTATTCAATGACTCTTCCAACCACCTCAAGATCTCAATAACTAGTCAAAGCGATTTTTGCAAAATTTCCCATAATAAATTTGCATTTAAACCCTTAATTTCCAAAAATACCAACAGGCAAAACTTTGTGAAAAAATAAGTAATCAAGGAATTGTTTCCTTCGCAGTGAAATTATCAAAAAAAAAAAAAAAAAAAAACAGAAAACTTTTATGAATCAACATTTTGAATTTTTTATATAATTTTATAATCAATTCAATTCTCGAAATCAATTTTCCCCTCGAAGAGAATGAAAATTTAAAGAGAACACAAATTTATCTTCTATTGGTGAATATTTCTTATTTTAGTTTTTTTAAATATTTATGTAACTACTGTCCAAAATTATTCTGTTTATTTATATTGCTCCACTAGAGTAATTTTATGTTATTAAAAAGATATTTCATTTCTTCAAAAACAAAATAGGTAAAACGCGCTGATTCAGCGCCTTTTTCCAAAAAAGCGCTAAGAGTAAAAAATCCGACTTTTGTGTTGTTAAAAGGCGCTAAATCTAGCGCCAAACGCACTAAATTGGCAACGCTGCACAAAAATATGATAATATTTTCTACAAAAGGTTAAAATTTTGTGATCCTAGTATTTTCATATCCTTAAAAAAAGATAATTGGCCAAGAGAAAGCATGCTAAGACATGCACCTGTGCTAACTGAAACACCACCAAGAAAAATGTCTTTAAAATTCTTTTAAATGGTAATTGTATTTTCAATAAATGGAAATTTTATTTGCAGAAAATGGAAAATAGAGGTCAATCCGAACGAAAACTATTATTTTATTTAATTATTATACAAATTCATTATCAAATCGATGTAATACGATATTAGATATTAACGGATTAGTTCTTAAATTTTTTATATTATATATGAGATTTAGTTTGAGTAGAATTAAGCATATTCAGATCACAGTAATGATGTGTTATTATTCCATAAATTAAGATTAAACATTATAAGCAAGTTTTTTAAGGTTTTATAGTGAAATTTGATAAAATTATTATAATTTGTATCATCACAACCTTAAATCTGCCAAAAAGTGACCCATGTTAGAGGGTCAGATTGTTGTTTACCTGTTAAAAAAATTTGAAAATGTCATTTGAAGGTTATCTACAATGTCACTAGATATAATCCTCATTAAAAAAATTGGACTATTGACCAATTAGGGGCATATTTTGACATAAAGAAATTTACCAGTACTACAAGACACATATCAGCAAAAATAACCAAAAACAACTGCTTAAAATTTGCCACTTCAAATTAAATAGCATTTAGAAGCATAGACAACTGTCCTTTCATAACAATGAGTTGCAATTTTTCAAAATTTATTAACATTTTTCAATATTGTTTCAACTTTTTTCAAAGAGTGCGCTATAATTATGAAACAGTTTTTTATGGTTAGTTTTGTATAAAAAGCCCTATTACCGTTATTTTGCCGTCTTACGCCGAATTTTGATACTTATTACATAAACTGGACTTCGTTCTTGAATTTGTCATCAATCATTTTTTTCTAACTTAATTAATTGTAATAATATAAAAAGAATAAAAACCTAATACAAGGTGCGCTATATTTTTGAGCAGTACTTTATATTGTCAATTTTAATAATATTATAAATATTATAAATAAATTACTAATCTTTTCGCCATTTTACATATGACGCAGAATCTTAAGTCCTCTGATGCTCCTAACTTGAGGAAATAAGTTGTCTGCAAGGAAATACATAAGTATGCATAAATATCGAAATATAAAAATCATAAATACATATTTATGTTACCATTTATTGATTAAACTCCGAATTGTGTATATTCTGATTCACTTCCTGCACTTTTTAAAAATTAAATTTTTAATAATTCACTTTATTTTTAACAATTAAAAGACTTTGTAACAATTTTTAATTATTCGCTTCTTGATCTTTGGTTTTCGCAAACAATTAATTTGTAAATACGAAAAATACAACTCTGTAACACAGTAACAGTCATTTGACCGGTCATTTTGCTGTCATTGTTGATGGAATCACCCTACAAACATTTTCTATTGCGGAAGTTACCCGTATGAAACTTCCAAACGTGCTAAAAGCTCGCCAGCGATGTTGCGGAGGTATAAGAATTCTTGTCACCAGTCGGGAAGAACTGATGCCGAGCTGGGGAACGTCTATGAGTAACGTGTAAGATACTTCTGGAAGACCCGCAGAAGAAACTTCTAGATGACTCTTGGAAGTAAGGTATTGCCAAAGACTCTTCTAGATGTAACTAGGAAGTCACTTCTTGAAGTGACTACATAGTATCATCTAGAAGTGTTCCTATCTTATCTTCTAGAAGATGAGTTTTCTCTTCTTCTAGAAGATGAGTTTTCTCTCCTTCTAGAAGAAGAGTATTCTCTTCTTCTAGAAGATGAGTATTCTCTTCTTCTAGAAGATGAGTTTTCTCTTCTTCTATTTGTATACTCACCAAAATAAAATCTATAAAAATAAATCTAAATAAAATGAAATTTTATAGTTTTTATTGAAATAATTTAAATTAAAATAGTAGAAAAAATAATAGATTTAACAACTAATCTAAAAAAAGTAATATATGTACATTAGACCAACTCACAAAAAATGGTGCTTGAGTTACCCACCTCAAAATATTCGCTGTTATGTAATATGATGTTACCCAAAATATTTTCGGTTAAGTGTTGTCCATTCGTAAGTTGGACAGTTTTAAAGAAAAAATTCAATATTTTACCCAGCTTCAAAAAATCTTTGTTATGTTTTATAATGGTTCCCAAAATATTTCTAGTCTATCGATGGCCGTTCGTGAGCTGAACCGGTTACCTTTTTAGTTATTTTTTTTAAATTATACAGCATTTCTTAAACAATATATACAGTATGTGGTATCATTTGAAAGGCTTTCTGAAGCCAAGTCTAATTTGCAAAATTGTGCATACATTTTATTTTTCTTAGTGAAAAACCTAACAATTTTAAATATTTTGGAATATGACAATTATAAGCAGACGTTTTTTTATGATTAATACATCATTGGACGCTGCTTTAAAATACCTTTTAAACGATACCCCGTATTGGATATTTTGTTTCAAAACAAACAAAAATTTTAAATCAAAAATTTAGAATTATTACCTTATAATAAGATAATTTTCAGGAAATCTGTATTAATATTCCAACTGTTGACTGGTATACTTTCAAAAATTGTAAAACGTTGGACTCTAACATATTTTTGTAATTCTTCA